ACTCGATTGACGCAGCAAATGTTTTGTACATTTTAACATTTATTGTTGGACACAAATAGGATAACTCTCCTGGTGCGAAAGAAATTTATCAAAAAATTCAGTTATTTTTTTAAAGAGAATTTGTATGCGTTGTGTATGTTTGTTTGATATCACAACTTTTTATTCGATACTTCAGTTTTAGTCAATTTTAGTAAGCGATTCTTTTTACACAAATTTTATTTGTTACTTATTATTCATAAAAAAATCGCTAATTAAGATTCTCGTTTACGTCAACGTAACGTTTATCGTGTAAATTATAAGCGTGATCGAAATTGTCTGTGGGATCTCAACGAGCTACATACATATGTGTGCATCAGGTGCAGTGTATGTAGGCGAGATTTCTAGCCCACGCCCTTACTCGACAGTTAGTCGATAGTTCGTTTTTCCTGCCAAAATGATGAATTCTGAATTTACTGCCATATAAAATTGCGTTGAAGAGTGTTGACGTTCGTATATAAATGTTTCGACCCACATACACATGTGCGTATATATATTATGTTAAATCTATAGTGTCAAATTTAATCTAATGTGAGTCGTCACTGCGTCCTATTAAATATAACGTTATTTTTTATCAAAACAATGGTTATATTTGACCCTGTACAGTGTCAATTCGATACTATATAATAAAAAAAGTGTCAAATTGACACGATAGAGAGTCAAATATAATCACTGTTTTAATATATAATAAATAACGATATTGAGTAGAAGCAGTGGCGACGTTAAATTAAATTTTATACTACAGATTTAATAGTGTAGTTCTGTAAAAAGATACATTTATTGAGATCATTAAGTTTCAAGATAACATATAAATTCGATGTTCTCTTCTAATATTTATCTTTATGTATAACATAGCTGTTGAATGAAATCATTGTTATTCGTTCGTCGACGACTTTTGTCGTACTTTGTTACGAAACGAAGGAAACTGCTCGTAATTTGCTTAAATAATTATCGCGCTTTAATTAGACGAACGTAGAGGGGTTCCCTTTAATTATTGCGTGCGAACTGTGTAAGCGTAATGAAAGACGAAAATAACGGCGTGTCGCTCTTCTGGCGCCCATCGCCTTACAGAGAGAAGAGATCAAACTTTGAATTGAAACATAAACTAGATTAGATGTGACCTATAATTTTGTATTAGAATCGACTCTTATATGAAATTTGTACACGAAATTTGTATACGTATATAGTCAAGTTACAGATTCTCATCTAGGTAACATAAATATTAAGAGTTTATATACATTATTTATATACATTGTTTATGTGAACAAGACTAAATGTTGTTCATTTTATTCACATCATTGTATAATTAAGCGAAGAAGAGGTCATATTCGATTAAGACGGTTTTGATATCTAATAATATTTTTATGTGATTTTATAATAATTTTATAATAAATCCTTTACGTTATTTTAAAGATGTTTGTCAGCATCAGTAATATTAAATTCCTTGTCCATTTAATTTGTGATACATATTATATAATTCAACTTTAATTTAGTGCTGTGTTTTAAAATTGACAACTAATCGACGCGCAGTTTGCTTGAACTATAGAAATTGTAAAATTCACACAAAAATATTATTATAAACACCAAAACCCGCCTTGACTAGGTATATGACCCTCTTCTTTCGCTTAATTATATGAATAGTTTTCGCATCATTGATTCATTTTTTTTTAAATTACTGTGCATTTAATCAATTTGTTTGCTATTTTTTCGCAAGAAAAGTTTATAGAATAATATTTTTCCAATGTATGAATGATAATTGCGGTCACTACACGTCGTCTTCTGTATTATACTCGTCTCTCGTGACGTGACGGGATGAACTCGACAAGCGCTGAGGAAAACGTATCCATTTCTTAATGCAGGTTCAGCACAATGGGGACTATAAAGGGCTTGGTGAACATGATTCCCTCACGACCGTGACCAGCTCATTCGCCTCGTGCTTGTGAAAATCGAGCGCAGTAACGCGTCTCGTAAAAAGATACGGCGTTATAATTCACGAAGCACGACATGCAGCCGGATGAACCATAAAGCCGGGATAAACGGCCATACTTGGCATAGTTTCGCTGTCGTTCTTGTGAAAGTGGATGACGTGCCCATTGCCGTGTTATTAGCGACCAAGAAATTTCCCTTCCTTTCGTTCCTCCTATACCTTCTCATGCTTCATCCGATCTTGCACATCTGCACCCTCGCACGCGGAAGCATGCACAGATGAGATCGGAACATGTTCCTCGTTCTTTCGTATAATCGGTTAGCTCGTATTCCAGGCTTGGAAGCTCTCTCTCTCGTTGAAGCGGTGAATTTTTCGCAGTGGCACCAATGCCACTTTCTTGTAATATCACTAATTAAATGCGAGTCGCACTGTTTTTCGCTTTTTCTCCATTTTGCGCGCAGATCGCAGCATAACATTAAATAATTTTAATTAAATAACGCGCGATTTTGGACGCGCTTTTCTCATATTCTCGTGATATAAATATTGCGAAATTTGCAAAGGAAATAGTTTGTGTTAAAATGTAATACACCAATCGATATTCTGTTGCACGGATATTTTTTTACATGTGATACGTGCTTCAAGAATTATGCTTCGAGAAAAATATCTAGCCAATATTTTGCGATAAATCTACGAATGTATAAAGAGCCTTTAGGAAATGCAGCGAACGAACACGCGTACGCATACGCGAACGAATGTATTTAGAAAATAAAAATCGAAACATCTTTTACTTTATGTTTTCTTTATCGCATAAACACGTTCTTTTAAATCAAGTTTTGATGCTTTCTTAAAAGATGTAAATGTATTGACACAAAAAATTTAAAATAACGGGGTGATATTTTCTTTTTATATTTTATAATTATATTGCCTATTAATTGTATTTAAAAAAAAAGGAAAAAAAGTTGTATTTAATTGCTATATAAAACAGTTTTGGTATATAATAAATGTAATTAAAATTATTTTATATTTTTCTAAAAAAAATTTTTAATTTGAGTTTTATGAATCTTAATAAGATCGCTTGAAGTAAAACTCGATATTTGTCTCATAAGGGTAGCTTCTTTTATTTCTCTCTCTCTCTCTCTCTCTCTCTCTCTTTCTTATCGTTTTTATCAGATATTTCTAATGTAGAAAAAAACATCTGTCGACAGAGTTTGAAGTGTTTATCCCGAATTATAAAATGGGAACGAAGTGAAAAATCGTGAGAAAACAAAGATGCATTATCATCCGATTGGACGTCTGTTTGCAGTCTCTTTTGTTAATGGAATATCCGTTTCTCGATCGAAAAGGATTCAAATCGTCAGATAGATATGAAATTTATTTTGTAGAAATCCCGATCGTTCTTACGAACGATAATGCGAATCAACAAGTGTGTGGGCCGTCATTGATAATGCTACTTTTTTACAAACGATGAGATTATTAGTATGTTTGCTATCTGCAGATTCACAATTATTCTTAATAAATTTATTTGAGGTGATTCTGCTTTCTATCATTTTTCTTAGAAATCTTATATTTTTTATCTGTTCCTTAATTTACTTTTTCATTTTTGATTAATGAAATGCATGTACAAATTCTGACAATTAAAAATCTTTGTTTAATAAGAAAATTTCAAATACTTCTCCAATATCTATAAAAAAGTGGATTTTTTTTCAAATAAAAAAAAATAAAATTTATAATTAATCCGTATTACGGTTAATTTATGGCAATATTCAGCGTTTTTTAAAAGTTTCCTCAAATATACTTTTGATTATAACAATTGTTGATTTAATAATTCATTGAATTATTCGTATTGTCTTCAGTCATGTTAGCATCTATACAATCATATCAACAATTCATATAGTTATATGTGCAATGAGAGCACTTTTCGCATTCGCAGAAAGAGTGGAGATCAACAGAGCAAAGAAGCTGTTGCATCGGTGGTGTTGCCATGAAAACTGATGCAATTGCCGTTATTTGTTCTTGACTTGCACTCACCGTTACACGAGATTTTCGAGTCGTTTCACCCTCCAAATGGTTTCGTACTTTCATTCTCTCTCACACCGGCGAAGAGGTGAAAGGAACGGTGTTTATGATGGCTAGCAGGAAGAGGAAAATGGCGAAAATAGGTTGAATTCGATCTTCGTGCGTGTAAAAGGTATATGGCGCGTAACTGAGAAATTTTCGTTTACTAGGTGCAATATATCGCTGTTTTCCAATATCATATATACGTCTAAAATAAGTAATGTTGAGAAGAATTTCTACTTAAAAGATTGGATATTAAACGCCATGTTTAATTAAGAAAATCGCGTACAAGTCCTCGGTCGAATATTCGTTATATTTATTAGTATTATTTTTTAATACTTTAAACTTAAATAATATTTTATATGGACAAACATTTTTATTTACTTATCCAAAGATTTCAATTATTGATGCGTGTTATCACGTTATTTTGATTCTTTCTATATATTCGCAGATTAAATGCGTCTATAGTATTTCCTCTCGCAATTTCATACACAATCCGGTTCCATTTTCAATTTTTCATCGCTTGTGCACACCGCGAGCCTTGAAATTTTATGTCGAAATTTCTGGTTATAATGTAATTTAAAATCCCAGAGTTAGATGCATGGAAAGTGTAATATCGATAATATACACTTCACTAATTAATGTCCACTGACAGATGTTTAATTAATGAAACGTGTGAAAGCGAGGGCTTTGGAGGGAGGTACAGATTGCATCAAATTACGTTCAATTACATCAGATTTGTAATGCTTCACAAATATGGTTAATCAATTAGCGTGATAAATAGTACCGTATCGATGGTAGTGATAATGAAGGAAATAGCTAATAGTGAAGTGACGACAAAGTGTTCAATAAAATCGAATCCCGCGGTTTAGTTGATCAAGTTTGATGAATGGCAACGAAATTATATTTATGTATTGTGAAACTAAACTGTTCTACCGATTCTCTCTCATCTATCATCCATCTATCTTTTCTCTGTGTTTAGAAGCTCACCGAGCTCTGGAGCTCCTTGAAGATTACCATGCTAAGCTGACAAGACCACAAGACAAGCAGCTGCGATTAGCCATCGAGCGCGTTATACGTATCTTCAAGAGCAGACTCTTCCAGGCGCTGCTGGGTAAGTCTTGTTTGCTTTCCTTAAATTTTCTTGCGCTCGAAATAATACACATCTTTATGGCTATATCGGAAAATCAATCAGTACGAAAAACAATTATCATTTGATCAACTTGAGCAGTTATCAAAGAGCAAAAACAATTTGGCGATTACACAAATAAGCGAATCAAGATACTCGAGAATTCTCTGTTCTCTTTCATATTGATTGACAATGAAAGTTGAGCGATACGAACAGAATGCATCGCTTTCATTTCCTGTATTGTCATTCACTGTATTGAATATTGTAAAAGTGTTGATTTAATAACTAATATTTTTGTTGAGATAATAACTAATTATTTCGTGATCTCTTTTAGCGGTTTCAATATAGGATAGAACTATTCAATTTTAACTTTAAAGTAATTAACCAAAATTTACGATAGCAAGCAGTATCTCTTTGCATTGATATGTTTATAATTACATTGTACAATCATGATTGCTTCTTGAGAGCACAATCTTTAAATAATCAATATATGTGTTGTTCAGAAACATGAACATTATCGTGAAAAAAGGATGAAAAAGTCCTCTTCTAACATACGATTTTAACTACATGTTAAAATCATCTTGAGACCAATTTTGACAATTATCAGCTAATGTCTTTTATTTGAATTATACGTATACAGGATGTCTTAGATTTCGCATTAATAGCAGATTCCTGAGATCGTTTTGAGACGAAAATCCTAATACCAAAATGTCGAAGCTATAATAGTTTTTAAATGAGAAAGATT